AGTGTCACATGATCCTTCAGAAATCATTCTAATATGCTGATTTATTATTAGAATTATCGACAGTTGTGCTCTCACACACACTCACACACACACTCACACACACACTCACACACACACACACACACACACACACACACGCTCTCACACACACACATACACACACACACACACACACATACACACTCACTCACACACACATACACACTCACTCACTCACACACACACCTGCAAACTACCTTAAAAATGTGCACAGGATGGTTACGACAAATACTGATTTGATTGAGTTAAAATAAAAATAAATGACGCGAGAAGAGCCTTTCGTGGCATTGAGAGCAATTGAGATGTTCATGAGCAACATTTAACTCTCGAGTCGTGAGGCAAGAAAAAAATGCAAAAATTAAAATCTTTTAAAAAGTCTTAAAATGTCCTGCCGTACTGCCCCGCATCAAAGCAATCGATACTGAACAGTCAAAGAATAACTTAACGAGGTTGCCATCGTTTACTGATCTGTGGACTAGCTTTGACTCTGGCTGCTGGTCTGAATGGTGATGCAGTGTCAATACAGCTGATGTGTTTTACTGAGGCTTCGCTGTTACGGTCTTACATAGTGAGCGTATAACACAGCGAATCATTAAACCTCAAACGCTGCACAGCCACACGAGCGTCAGTGTAACGGAGCGATGCAGTCTGTGTCAGAATGATGGCAGAATTCACTAAAATGACGTTTAATAAGCGCAGCAGTGATAAATGACGTCATCACAGTTTAGAGGAGTCTTACTGTGGCTCGAGTGTTGCTGTAGGCTGGTAAACTTCCTGTTCCCACTCTTACCACTTCCTGTTTACCCCTCTGAGTGATAAGGGCCTAAGAGTGTGTATGTGTGTGTGTGTGTGTGTGAGAGAGAGAAAGAGAGAGAGTGTGTGTGTGTATGTATGTGTGTGTGAGAGAGAAAGAGAGTGTGTATGTGTGTGTGTGTGTTTCCATGCATTCCACTAGTGAGGGAAAAACATTCCACAGGAAATTAGCAAAATGCCCGTCATTCATCTCAATCCGTTCAGTAATAAAGCAGTGGCCTGTTTACATGGCTGCATGTTTGGCTCATTGACCGCAACATGTAAGTGAGATATTAGTATGATTTTCTTCTCGGCACTCAGTTACACGCATGAGGCAGCTTCTTCATTTAGTCCTGTCACAATATATCAATATATCACATACATCACCACTCTGACAATTCTAGAGAGTGTGTGTAGGACACACCCTCATGTACTTGCTCTTTCTATTCAGTTCCCTCTTTAATGCTGCAGCTGCTGTCCTTCTTTCCTCCTCAAACACACACACACACTCTCTCTCTCTCACACTCACTCACTCACACAAACACACTCACACACTCACACACACACACACAGACTGAGTGGATATGTTCACAGGTCAAAGGCCACGCAGCCTCCTGATGTTTGCTGTGAATGATTGACAGGTGTCAGTCCCCCGTACTGCAGTCTGTTTGGACTCATGAGAACGCGAGACCGAGTGTGGCTTCCACCCAATCACATCCTCAAGATCGAGGCCTCAGCCAATGAGACGCTGCTGTTCAGGATCAGGTGAGCGCCGTGAGGATCAGCTGCAGCACTGATGCATGCTGGGATTGGCAGCGGGATCTAATCCGGTCCGTCTGCAGGTTTTATTTTCCAGGCTGGTACGGCAGTAGCTCGAGCTCAGCCCGCAGGTATGGCGTCTCCAAGAGTTCAGAGGCACCTGTGCTTGATGACATCACTGCGGCGTACCTGTTTGCTCAGGTGATCCACGCTACTGATGTTCACAGCCGACAAACTGTCTGATAGCCGATTTAGTTTTTTCCACACTGATAGTCATTAGACAACACAACAATGACTGCTGTATTGTGAATATTGTTAGATTGTTGCTAAGAACTTCATTTGAACAACTTTAAAGATGATTTTCTCAATATTTAGATTTTTTTGCACCCTCAGATTCCAGATTTTCAAATATTGTCCTATCCTAACAAACCATACATCAATGGAACGATTATTTACTCAGCTTTCAGATGATGTATAAATCTCAATTTCACAAAATTGACCCTTATGACTGGTTTTGTGCTCCAGGGTCACATATAGAGATATAGAGATCACGGTCTGTTAAACATCTCCACTAGATTAGGGTCAGGGTTCGACTATGAATCGTGTTTTTCTCAGTCCTGAAGTCCTGATAGCTGCTGCTGGAGTAATATTTTACTGTGATTTCATTGTCACACACATTGTTTATTGAGCAAACCCGTCTCTCAGTGGAGGTCAGATTTTCTGAGCGGCGCGGTAAGCGTTCCCATCAGCCTGGAGTTTCAGGAAGAGTGCTTGGGATTGGCTGTTCTTGATGTGATGCGTTTGGCCAAAGAAAAAGCCAAGTCACCTGTTGACATCTACAACCACAACAGGTGTGTTCACCCGTGACCTTTGACCTGCCGCTGCCCGTAGAGGCTGAACTGAACTCTGGTCATCTCCTCTGTGTTCATTTGCAGTTATAAGTCGTTCCTCCCGAAGAACATGCGAGCACACATCCAGAACCAGCACTTTGTGACCCGGAAGAGGATCCGCTTCTGCTTCAGGAAGTTCATCCAGCAGTTCGGAGCGTGTAAAGCCACGCCGCGAGACCTGAAGCTGAAGTACGTGGTCAGTCTGGAGACGCTGCAGGCGGCCTTCTACAGCGAGCAGTTCCTCGTCAGCGAAGCGTCCGCCGGAGACGTCTGCATCCTCGTCAGCGGGAGCCGCGGCATGCGATGGTCCAAAGTAAAAGAGGCCAGAGACCGAGAGGTGCGTTTGAGTTCGGCTTCCTGGTGTTTGATCTTTTGGCAGACACACCTGCACCAGATGTAAAAGTTCAAGCTCAGTTCAAGCTCACTGACTCACAAGTGCACACTTGTGAATCTTCTAATTACTACCAGCAGACTGAGATACTAACGAGAGCGACTCTGACTGTCTTTCTTTCTCCCTGTTCAGGATCCGCAGGTTTACTGTGATTTCTCTGACGTCATCGACATCAGTGTAAAGCAGGGGTCTAAAGACGGATCTGTGGAGAACCGAATCGTCTCCATAAACAGACGGGACGGTCAGACGCTGGTGAGGTTCGGTCGCACTACAGCGTTACAGTCCGTGCTCGGCTCAGATCCGTGTCTGCAGCGTCTCTCTCTGTGTCCCGCAGGAGCTGGAGTTTCATTCTCTGAGCGAGGCGCTGTCCTTCGTGTCTCTGATCGACGGCTACTACAGACTCACCACAGACGCTCATCACTACCTGTGTAAGGAGGTGGCTCCCCCTAGACTGCTGGAGGCCATTCAGAACAGCTGCCACGGGCCAGTGTCGTGAGTCACACACACACACACACACACTCACTCACACACACACACACACACACTCACTCAC